CCCCACGAATCACTTACTTTTACAGTTTTGCATACATTCACTTCCCTGTTCCTTTAGCCTTCCATGTTCACACATTTCATCATTAATTTACACTATTCAATTGCCACCGGCTGGAGCTCACCAACAAGACTATCCGAAAGGAGAAGAATTCACCTTCTTTTTTCTTTCAAAAAAGAAAATAAAAGAAAGAAGCCATATAATCAAGGGTAGAAAAGCTTGGCAAATAGAAGCTCATTCCAAGTATCCTGAAGGCCAGGCAAACACCAATGTACACAATCTGCATAGCTAACAGGGTTTGCTAATTGCTCTGGAGTCAGTGGATTCCATTGCTTCTTGTAGATTGCTGTGTGTGCATCTTTGCGATAGCTCGAGAGTTGGGTGATGTTGAGAAATGTAATGGGCACCTTTGATTTACCGAACACGTCTCCTATCACCTCCATTATATTTTTCCGGGAATCTGAACCCCAATAGTTAGGATCTTCAATCGGAGTAGTTTGATTGTAACAGTTACCTCCTGATTCACCTCCCCAATCTACACTCCTGCCAAATTATAAACATTAGTCCTCAACCTAAATTTTGTAAAAGTTTCAAGCACAAGTTCCCTTCTAAAAAGCTTCAATTTGATCTCAAATTTTCTCACTCTCTGTCTGTTTTTGTCCATGGTTTGCTATGCTATATATATGATTTGAAGAAATGGGGTGACAGAATTGTACTCACTTTCCATGAGAAGGCGACATGCTAGTGAAAAAGACCCTCGTCTTCTTGGGGTTCATGTTCCTCCGCACCCATCTCAACATAGTCTTCATAGCCATGCGATAAGCCTCTGTTGTTGGTACCTCCACGATATCTTTCACCTCATCATCGAAGGAACCTTGCCTGAAGATTAAACATTGGTTAAGCAATGTAGGAAGAGATAGCTATTTAAAAAAATGTATAATTTGACTGGGGCAAGAATGTACAAGATCTTAAACTTCAAGCCGGTCATCCACCACAGATAGGTGTTAAACACCAAGACATCCACGCCCTTCCAATGCTTGCCATGCTTATTGATGGACCCTTTCCTGACAAGCCTCTCAGATATCCTATGGACAACAGCATTATCGGAGTTTGACTCGAGAAGAAATGGCGCCCAGTAGAACTCAATTGTGGCATTGTACTCCTACATTGTGGAAAAAAGAAATTTATAGGATAACAATTCAGTAAAATGTGAATGTACATTTGAGAACCAAGTATGAACCAATATAGAAACCCATAGAAATGTGACCAACCTTTGCAGTGAAAACAGTTCGTGAGTCTGAGTCGAAGGTTTCCATAGATTTGGCATCCTCGGGGATGAGCGAATGGAGAAGACAAATCATGGAAACATACTGACCCCGGTTCAGAGAATCGCCAACAAACATCATCCGCTTCCCGCGTAGTGTCTCGAGCATCAATGTTGCGTTGAAGCTGTATAATTTGTGAGTAGAATCGTTTACACTTAACATTACTGGGAAATTAGAAAATCCAACATCAAGTATATGATTTTGTAATAGTTGATCACCTACTAATTAGTAATTACAGAAATTAAATTAAACAGAAGAAAAAAAGAGAGCAGAAGAAGTATATATTATTAGAGAAATTAAATTACGTATATTAACATACATTAATTGCACAGGAAATGATCAGCAAACTGGGCCGTGCCCACGCCCACTATGTTTTGGGCCTTTCTCATTTCGGAGCCTTAGTGGCGGATACATACGAAATTAACGGCGGCCATCACAGCCGTTGAAAACATACACGTGTTCATACACAAATGGGGGCCCCGTTCATAGCTTGTCTCACACGGGGACAGATGGAAGAAAGGAACAAGCGATTTCGATTCCCCTTGAATTTAACGCAGCTTATTCTAAACCCATGCAAGACTGGTCCACCCGGCCGGCCAGCCACCCGGCCGGTTCGATTGGAAAAAACAGGTTCGTCAAAACAAAGACAAAGGGACAAACGGTTTTGTTTGTCGGTGATGAGATTCGTGAGTAGGGATCGAGAACAGGAGAGTTCCCGTCGTACTAGTCTTTGATTTTTTGTTTTTTTGCTTTTGGTAAAGCAACGGAAAGCAAAATTGGTTCAACTTTCCCCAAGAAAACCAATTAAACGAGGAAATAAAGCGTTATACAATAAACGAGCAGCTAAAAAACGCGTTTAATGCGTGCGTAGAGCAAGAGACTGAGCCACTGACCTGGGAAGATCACAGCCGTGCGGCTGCCATCGCCATTTCTGATAATCCTTGTCAGGTCGTCCGTGTTCTTGACAAGTCAACTGAGGCTGAATGTACGGACACTCCGATTCCTCGTAAAGCGGCCGATTCGACTCGTCCCAAACCCACCTCCCACTGAATATGTCACAGCCTTCCTCGCTCTTACCTATGGCGAACGGCAGCTTCTCCCTCTTCTTCCCTAGCCCCGAAACAAAAAACCGAATTCAGTAAAACCACAGTTTCAATTGCAAATTCCATTTTTTCAATGGGAAATTACTCGGTGATGGGTTGAGTTGACTCACCGGTTCTGATGACGAGTGGGTCCGAGTTGGGACTGAGTTGCAGCTGCTGGCCGAAGATGCACATGAGGTCCTCGCCGTAGAGGACGGCGACGAAGAGGATGAAAGCGAGCAAGGTGAAGAGGTAGGGGGAGAGTCGGGCCTTGCGAAAAACAGAGGAGGAAGAGGAAGAGAATGGCGGTGGCTTCATTATTCTCATGTAAAAGTATAACGTATCTGTGCAAAAATGAATCGAATGCGAATTAATTTGTATGAGATTTATGAGAGTGAGGAGGAGGAGGAGGAGGAACATAGAGAGAGATTCATCGTCTTTGTGTAGAAGGGAGGGATTATTATTATATGAAATCAAAGCCAGGCAGTCTTAAAAATAAAGTTGAATATTATAATGCACTATCGTTGGTGCCCACTGGCCATAGTAAGTTTCTCTCCGAGGCAAAGACTTCTGCGACAGAGTTGGTCTGGTTATGGTTAGAAGGAAATCTGTACGAACGATTAGTTGTTGAGAAAGTAATTGATTTTAAATTGGATAGTTCAGCTCTTAATTAACTATCAAGTTTATAATTTTGGAAGTGTGAAATTTACCCGTATATGCACTCACAATTTTGGAGAATATTTGATACTTTCTGTTGACGAGTACTTATTTAGTTAGGGTTTTAGTTCTTTACTATGTTACGATTTTGGTTACTTGCCTATTTTTCGTATAATAGTTTAGATTTATTTCCTATGTTATTTAAGGTTAATACATATTTGTACTTTTTTATAAACACCTCCATATTGGAGCAGCATAAAATCTGAGTATATATGAATATATCTGAAAATTTATCCTACTTTGTTTGACACTTTCAAAAAAATTTATATGATTGTTTTCCAATTTGTTGAAATTAATAATGATTCACATTTAAGGGATGATATTTGTTAATAGGAACGTAAAAATTCAAACATCACAGACATGGATTTAGCCAAGTTGACTAGAACGGATGTACTCCTCACTCTGTACCGAGTTTGACTATCCCTCTCTGTAATTTAAATTAAATTAAAATAAAACATCACTTGTATTTTAAAAAATAATAATTCAAACATCGGAAACTTCCATTATATCTTATTTAATTCCCTTGTATTTAAAACCAAAAACCATATCCAAAATGTAGGCAACTGAATCGTAAATTGCATCTCAGGTTTTCCTATGTTTGGTCCAAATAGAAATCTAAATCTAAATTCATAGAACGAGGAAGTGTAGTGGGTTGATACTGATGCATGATGATGTGAACTGGCTGTAATGTGGCTTGGCTTCTAAGGTAAGTGTGTCTGTCTGTCAAACATCGCAAATCATTCTCTGCACTTTCTTATCACGATGAGAAAAAGAAAGAGACATTTTTTTAATGAAGGGGGCTTTGGGTTTTTTTTTTTTGGGTAGAGGGTGATTCGAAATTGGGTCACATTTCAGCCTCAAAGTGGTTGGCATTTACCTGCTTTCTTACGCAGCTGTGATTAGCTGACAACCACAACAAATAATGGTGACCCAACAACTAAACTTATTAAACTAATCAATTATTGTCTTCATTAATAACTTTGTAATCTTACTATGCCTATGAGTTTTATTTTGCTTCTCTTGGATGTTTCAATCATATTATATGCACGAAGTTATGTTCTTTCTCATTTTGTGTCTTCCTCCTCCCTTCTCTACACACATATATTGTACTGACTTCTGCTAAATATCTAGCATGTTATGTTAGAGAAAGAAATCACCCTATATTCTGCTAAATATCTAGCATGTTATGTTACGGAAAGAAATCACCCTATATTTTAGGGACACGAACGGATTCCAGTACTCGTCCACGAGTTCAAATTCTGTTCTCTGCCGAAAAAGAAACATATATGTATTATTTATATTCATGCAATCCTGTGTAGGTGTTTCATGTGCATCGCAACTTTGCACATGGAACTCAGTAGTTTGGGGGAGAACAAAAGAAAAATATGAATATGATTTCTTTAAATCTATGGGATTCTATTGTAATGTTCTATAGAGCATTTGAGTTTTGAATATAGTAGTGGGCAGTATAAGGCCGAACCTCAAATTTTAATCCGTAAACTGGTAAATTCAGAGCTAAAAACAAACCTTCTAAAGTTTGGGTCATCACCAATATAATTTCACAATGTAATTGCATGCATTGATGCAAAAGCAGAAAGTTTGATCATCTTTATGCCGCACTATATCATGATGCTCTTCACCATTGACCCCCCAACCCTCCCTCCCTTCCCCACCAAAAGAATAAGAGAAGAAAAGAGTTCACAACACACAAGAAAACAAAATGCCATCCTCCCTCAAACAATGCATTAATTTCATTACAAAAGTTGGCAATGTAACTTCTTACCTGAGGCTGAAGAGACAGAGAGCGCATTAAAAAGTGGCAAAAGCATAACAAGGCAGACAACGCGAGGCCGCTTGTACTACATGCTTCTAAGAGTTTGGGAAAAAGAGTCTTCACCTTTGCTCTTATACCTGTCCGGCATCTTCTTGGGCACAACTAGCAGTTGCTGCGTTTGCTGGTGCTTTTCAAAGAGCCTCCACAATGTGGTTAGCCAGCCACATCCCAATCAGTAGAGAATACTTGCACATCAGGTAACCCTTGTGTGGTTTCAAACCAATACTATTTCTGTCGTTGGAAAAGTAAAGGCAAGAAAATTATATGATCTGGAAAATCACACAATACTAACAGGAAGTCTTCCCTGCATGTAGCATATTTGGATCATTTTAATAGGTTAAGTCGGTATCAACCGAACCAGCATCTATTCCACCAAATCCATGAGATATCCCTCAAGCATCTATCTGCAAGGCCTTCTCCCACCATATCACCATATCACTGCCCTAACTGCTCAGCTGCGATATATATCAAGGTAACTGGATAATACTTCCAGTATACCAGTAAACAATCCAAAAGTCTTTTTTGTTTTTGTTTTTGTTATTTTTTTGTGAAGGCATCAATCTGTAACATAGTTCTACCATAAGAATAGATGTGTCCAGTATCTGCATGTTTTCAAACATCTTCAGACTCTTAAATAGGAAAAATATTAACATTCAACAAATAAGATTTAAAAGGAAAAAAAAATAAAACTGCTCACTTCACACCCAAACTTCTAGTTGCGCACTATCATACATTTCAGCAGCCAAGTTAAAGCATGATACTCAAAATCAATGTTCTCATTTATCAATTTTATCTATAGAAAGATCAATATCCATATGCAAACAATACATCCAAAATTGCCTGAACAGCAGCTGACACAACATAAGAGGGGAAATAACAAGTAAGTACTTGGTAAGGATATTTTTAGATTACAAATAAAATATGACTTATGGAAAAAGAACAAAAAGAGAGATGAAAAGCATAGGTGAGATGGAAAAAGCGCCCTTTCTATTATGGCGTATGGCGCATATCGAGCTTAAGTGCTAGCTTTGACAAGGCTGTTGTCTGCATACTGACCCACATCCTCTTGTTTTCTAAATGTTGATGGCAGAGTAGAGATGATACAAATGAATTCACCAGCTTAACCTAAAACAAACATCTGTATTCTGTATGCTCAGAAGTTGACAGGAGAATACGAGCTTCGATGACCTTGAGAAGAAGATCCCCTAAATTTGCGCAATAAAGATGCAAATAGACTCTGGAATGAGAAGAGATTGTATGTTATTAACAATATATTGAGAGCTTAAGATAAAGTAAAAGGCACTTTAATTGAAAAGTTGCTAAATATCTATGCCACAGCACTAGAAGTGTTGAAGAAAGAGACAAATCATTACACCTAAACAGAATACCTGTGTTCTCTGAGGTAAGCTGGTCCAAAAGTCCAAGTTTGGAATAACCTGATAAGCAGAGGAGCAACGCATCAGAGTTTAATTAATAGGACTTAAATACCAAAGGAATTAGATCCTTGCCCCGATTCCATAATAACGATCATCATTATTTTTCCCTATTGCAATGTGATCTAGTTTTGGTATCAGACTGAATAGATGATATGCGACCATGATTTTTTAAATGGCATGCTGCCACAAAAAGTAAGATGAAAGAAACATGAGACTTTATTCCCTATTTCATGACTGCTACAAGTTTGAATTCACTTGCCCTAAGGATCATGTGGTTCGGTTCTCTCTCCCCTTCAATTGCCATGGTCCATCCACTGTTTGATACATCACCATGTTTCCTTTGCCTAACTCATGACGACCATTTCACCTGACTCATTGACATATCTTAGCTCTTTCTCCTATGGATAAATTTCTAAGAGAACTCGAATTCCATCTCAAAATAATGCACAGAAAATAAATGCATACAGCAATTTCAGAACATATACATGGACAAAAATCAAGCATAACTAAATAGTTTGCAGGCAAGAAGATGAATAAATCGAGGAACATACGTGTATTCCACGAACTCCAAGACTGAAATATCGATAAACTGCCCCAGCCAGCAGATATGCTCCAAAAAGGCATAAGACTCTGAAAGTCAGATAAAATATCAATCAATTAAGATGACTTGATAAAACTTCAATAGTTAGGCATAGACAATGCTATTTGTAAGGTAACCACTTTCAGGCAAAAAATTGACTCTTACATGGTTCCTAAGGTGCCAAACCAGCCCCACCCGTGTCCATGAACGTGTACGACCTTGGCACAACCAGAAGGATGCGTTAACACTGTAGCCTGTCAGATAGAGAAGATTATGAACCTCAAACTTTCTGAATCCTGCACACACTCACTAGCTATTTACCCCCTTTTCCATCTTGCTAAATGAACAGTCAAAAGAGAACCAGTTCTACACATTTCAAAGTCTTTTTGACCACCATATTTTAAAATCTATGATATAAATATTCACAGCATAAAAGACTAGCTAGTTTATCAGTTTTCCTAATACCAACACCCTTTCCTCCACCTTGACCATTTACACAAAAAGAAAGCCTACAACATAAAGCACCACCAGCTGGAAAAAATGGGTTGAGCACATTTTCAGTCAACTAAGAAGCACACAAGTGTTAAGCAGGAAAATGAAACAGGTTGAACTCATCTTCAGTTCCAACAAAGATTCTACCATTTTAATCAGATTGGTTCAGTTCAATAAATTTGGTTGGCTTGGCAAGCAATGAAGGGAAGCATCCAAGCTAAAGTTACTTATCAAATCAGGTAATAAGCTTAGTGCACAAAAGCTGAAGATGGAGGCTAAAGGTCTGCGATAGAATATCCCAACTCCCATGGAAAACTTTACCAAAGTAAAATACTATCTTATATATCATTAAGAAATAAGCATGGAGGAATAAAAGCTTTTCTGAAACAAAAAAGCACTCACGTAGTCACATTTCCCAGTTTTCTCCAGTGAATGTGGACCCTGTAAAATAGAAAGATGAGAAACTAGGCCATTAACCAGGCATGTCAGAATGCCAGGATCTTTTCAAATTACACAAATTATTCTGTACAAATTCTTGCCTGAACTCTATTTGGATCACAAATTACAGAC